AGAGATAAGATGTACACATAGAATAATGAGAAAAAATTTTAAGGTACAAGACTTTTATTATAGAATTTATAATAAAGCATAAAACTAAGTATAATCAAGTGCTACAAGGTATAAAACTAAAAGTAAGGGCTATAAGAGATTAGGAAGAGGAATCTAATTTGGCCCAGGAAATCATGAAGGGCTTCTTGGAGGAGGAGGAGGTCAAAGATTGATATTACAAATATACAAGACAAAATATATTTATTACAGGTTCAATATCCCTAATCAGAAAATCCAAATGTGAAATGCTCCAAAATCCAAAACTTTCTGAGTGCTAAAGTGAAACTCAAAGGAAATGCTCGTTGAAGCATTTTGGATTTTGGATTTTCGGATTTGGGATGTTCCACCGTTAACTGTAATGCAAATATTCCAAAACCCCCTGAAAATTGAAAATCCAAAACACTTCTGGTCTCAAGCATTTCAGATAAACGATACCCAACCTGTAGTTTCAGATTTCAGACACATATAAATTTGAATACACAAGCTTTTTTTAAAATTTTTAAATAGATGGTCATGGTCAAAAAAGGAAAATCAATGTGATTTCCCTTGAAGCCAGAAGTATCATGTGATGAATTTGCTATCTCTAAAAACTTGCACCTTGAGACTATATCAGCTCCCCGAGGGCAGACAGTCCGTCTGGGTTTGTTCCCTGATGTGCCTCGCACTTCGAAGACCATTAAATAAATGCTTGTCATATGATTACACGTATGAAAAGATGGCACACACTTCAACACTGCTGCATTCTTAGAAAATAAGACCTTTATAGTTCCTTAATGGAGGTGTGCCTGCTAGCACCTTCTCCACTAACTTTGATGCTAGCTCAGCTACTCTGCTAAAACTGGACTTCCTATATTGATTTCTCCCAGATATTAAAAGTTGTCTCCCTCTTGAGCAGCTGGTGATAAAGAAAGTAAATTACAACTGTAATTTCTTACAAGTTTTCAATGGACAAGGAACTGTGTGTGTGTGTGTATGCACACACACATGCATATTGCTGGTAAGGCGTATTATGGCCTGTGAAAGTAATGCCTCACATAATTTAAGTTTTCAAATACCTAGAGTAACTCAAGGTAATAATGCTACACACCTTCAAGAATTCTTTGCAGGAGAGTAAAAGTGCCTTAGAGGTTTTATTTAATTAATCTTCACAGTAGTCTTGGGATTTAGAGGCAAGCAAGGATGGAAGAAAAAGACTCAAAGTCTAAGGCACTTCCCATATATTTGAAAGTTTGGTTAAATAGACACTGATACTGTTAAAAGGATACTGATACCTTTAAAAAAGCTTCTCATCAGCTATATTACTCTTTTCTACTTTCCCCCAACCGCTCCTCTTTCCATTCTAGCCAAGATGACTTTCTGTTGCTCACGTTAGTTTGATACTGAACGTCGTCCTTTCCAAGAAGAATCCAGGCTGTTCCAACATCGTATGTTGAATAACTGCCCATTCCACACCGTCTGAATTGAATCGCTCCCCCTCCCTTTTTAAAAAATTTAGTTTGGCCTTATCTTTTTATGGAAGTAAGTAACAAGCAGAAGATTTTTAGTCTTGGAGATTACTTCTAGTAATTCTAGATCAAATACTTATGTTTTATATATTGTATTTTCATCTTTAGAGAACTAACTGATATGATACGAAATAATAAGGGCTTAACTCTGGAACTGCCTTCTCTTTAGTTCTTGCCTGAGTTTGATGTGAACATTATTATTTTTATTTATTCTTTCGTTTGTTTGTTTCTGGTTGTTTAAAAGGATACATTCACTTAAACTTCTGGGCATTGTATTCAATACACCAGCTCTCACCTCCTCTGCAGCTGTCTGGAAGCCTTTTCGTGTCTGGCAGTTGTATGTTATTGATTAAATAACTACATTTGACTTCAGATTTAAGTCATTTGCTATAATCTCATATTCACTGGAAACACTCCTTTCCATTTTCTTCAAACTATGGGGCTATTTCCTAAGGAGACCTCTATCTTACATTTTACAGGGTCTCTGTAGAGACCTGCTTCGTCTGCCATTTTGAGCCAGCAGTAATTCTTTCATGTCTTTCCTGCTTAATATATTAATTTTGCTTCCTCAATCAATAAATTCTGTAACAACAAACATTGTTTTTTAAAATTTATCTCAAATCATTTATGCATTCAATTAGTAATAAAAAGAATAGGGCTGATTATTTATGTGAAAAAATAACAAAACAAAACAAACCATGTATGAAAATGTATCCTTTTCATTCATCAAGACACAATTACCACAACTAAAACTATGGAACCGCGCTAGGCTCAGTAACAGTGGCGCATAAAAATGCTGAACTAATAATGCAAAAAAATGTATTATGGTAGATTGAGAATTAATCAGAAAATAGGAAAAAGAAAAAATGCAAACCTTTTGTTTGTTATTATTTGCCTGCTGATGTCTCAAGAAACTATAATTTCTCTCTAAAAACTCTAAAAGCGTTTCAAGTAGATCTGAGACTGAGAAATAGTATAGGCTTTTAATCTGGGACTTTATTATTTCACTTATAATAAGTATCTCCACCTTCTAGAATTGTTTTTAAAAAACCTATTACTTATATTAAAATTTTCATATTTAAAAAATAGTCTTGTAAGGACTTTTCTATATGGTTAGGTCTTGGATCAATGAACAAAAGAAAACCTTCTCACTTTAAGAATCCTATTTCAGAATAAGGGTTCTGTCATAGCATTTTAAAAAGCCATTATGATTAGTCCTTTTCTGTGACAGAATTTTTGTAAAATGTCACTTTGGTCCTACCTAACAGTATCAAAAGACCTCACAGTAATTGTTCTAAATATCAGAAATACGAAATTTCTGTGTTTCTCTCATCTCTTTTTACTACTAATTTTCTTAGGAAAGCATGAGTACATATTTACTACATTTGTCTTATGTTCATCTGCCTATGTATATAAGCCCCTAAAGTTCTATTATCTTTGTATGGAAATTCAAGCGCTCAATGCAATAAACTGGTATCTGTGAAGTAAACTCTCAAACTGATTGTATTTAGAGACCAAATTATTTTATATAACTTTCACAGCTTTATTGTTTCAATATCTCAAGATTTGTTTCAGTAAGGACCTAAATGTCTCTGAGATAAGAAGCAGGGAATATGAAGAAAGTTGTTTTTAGAAGTGGTTCTTAAAGACCCAACTGCTGCCACCTTCTTCCTTAGCATAGATTTCCTTCTACCATTATGGTTCACTTCTTTAAGTCATTTAGCTTTCTTTGTTTTTTTAGCTTGAGAATTCTCAAAACATTTCCACTTCATCAGAGATAAAAGGTCCACCACTGCATTAACTTTCATGTATCAAAACTCTGCATTCTTAAAAGGGGGTAGGAGAACTTCTCACTGAGAAGAGCCCAAGAGGCTAAACTTTGAGCAAAGGAGGGGGAAAAAGCATCCTTTTCTTTGACTAGCATCCACAAGTCCTATAGACATTGAATGGTTTACATTTATACTTGAAAGTTTGCAAGAATGCAAAAAGATGCTGGGAATTATAATCTAATGGGTTAGAAAAGAAGATGCTGACTTTTATAATGCGATACATTCTTGGAAATCATATGAGTCATACTGTGTTGAAAGGCCAAGTGTGCATTACTGTTCTAATATTCACCTTTAGAACATACCTGGGATACTCTACACTGAAGTGAGAGTCTGATTTACAATTAGGTAGCAGCCATGTGTTAGAAAGTAAAATGATGCCTGACAATACTATTGTGTTAGGAAGTACAAACATGCAGAATAAGGAGTATGCAAAGTCACAAAGTGACATGTATATTTTTTTCAGCTACAGATTAGCACAATGTAAATAACTCCCAGTACACAAAATTTACACATTTTTTTGTTACACTGAACTGAATAGAAGCAAAATAATTAAGTTAAACTCAATATATAGTCTACAACCATGGATCCCAAATATAAACTATAAAGAATAAAAACCTTTTATGATGTGAGTAGTTTATACAGTGTCTACTAAATCCACTGTTTGAATAATTAAGTTAAACTCAATATATAGTCTATAACCATGGATCCCAAATATAAACTATAAAGAATAAAAACCTTTTATGATGTGAGTAGTTTATACAGTGTCTACTAAATCCACTGTTTGAATAAGCTTCAACTGTAATTTATATGGCATAATAACAATTTTGAAAAAAAGTAAAAAATATAGATCTGCAATAAAATTGAGCTGACTGCTATTTTGCCCTAAATAGCAATTCTGGCTGAGGACTGAAAAATTTCCATCTCAAGAACCTGAATGTGGTAAAATAACATGACCTGCAGGTTAATTCGACTGGCCTGTTAAATAGGTCTGGAGAATAGAGGAATTCCACAAATGCAAACCATGCATGGTTAACTGCCACTACCTGCCTGTCAAAATCACACCTAAAAATGTGTAGCAAAAGCAGTCCAATAACCAGATCATGAAAGCAAGGTCATGAGGTCCCAGGTCCTTTTCCTTTTCCATTTTAAAGAATAAAACAATTCTGAAATGCCGTGTTTCCTGATTTTCAAAACAGGAGTTTGTAATTATTCAGGTACTACAGAGACCGACAGTTGCATATTTTTTACTATCATCTTTCCACTAGTAAATCTCAAGGAGAATAACACAAAGCAGCAAATGTTTTGAACAGAATAAATGAATTACAGCACCCAATTTACATACCTATGACACAGTCATAGTAAACGCCAATTATCTGTGCATTGCATTTCTTACTCCTAGTAGGTTCATGGAAGCTCAAAATCTGTACCCATGCCCTTTTGGGCTTATTACATCACTTTTGTTATCCTCAATGCACAAGATGCACAGTCAGATATTAATGAGAACAAATTATAAAGTTTGTTCATGAGCTGTTGAAAACGCAGAATGAACAATGTGAACAGAATATAAACATCTGTGTTCTCAATCCCTAGCATGAACAAAGTGGAGAGTGATAAGGCACTGGCTTACCTCTGGTGTGCCAAGAGCATGTTCTCCAGCTAACAGCAGCATGCTCAGGCCTCCCATTTGAGTAGGATCTAAATAAGTCAAAAACAATCAACTTACAAGCAAGAAATATGTATAAGCCACATAGAGTCAAAAATAATACCAATAAAGAGAAGCAACCAGAAATCCAACAGAACCTCATATAACTTTTTATGAAAAACTTTAAAAACTCTTTATGTAACAATAACCAGGCATATACGTGCTTAGTACTCATTATTTTGGTGAGCCTTGTAAATACCACTGTTGTCCCCCCAAATCCAACACAGCACTTTCCTCAATACCACAGCTGTTTGTAACATGAATTATCTCCTGATGTGATGCTTCTTTCCTCACAGCACGGGGAGTTTAGACGGGATCTTTTTTTAAGCAAGAGTGCTTATGTTTGTCTTCTAAGAAGTTTGAGATTGTTATTCTTAACTTGTTATTTCTGCCATGTGAAATCAGGACTAATAACAAGAACCAGACTACCAGAGAAAAGAGAGAAATTTTCCAAATGGGCCTCCAAAATCTGTGGGCTTTGTTCAAATAATCTTTCTTTAAAACTCTCAAAATAAATTTAAATTAACTGATGTATTCTTGACATTTTAAGTCTAAGGTGT